GCGGGGGGCCCGCGCGGCTGACAGCAGGCCTCTCCCCGCAGGAGGAGGAGTTCCGCTGGCTGCTGCACGACGAGGTGCACGCAGTGCTGCGGCAGCTGCAGGACATTCTCAAGGTAACGCGCCCCGCGCGGGCCCGCCGCCCCGGCCCCCGCGCCGCCCCGGGCGCCTCTGCTGTGCACGCAGACCAGGCCTGCCCGCGGCGGACGTGCAGTCCAGCCGGGGACCCGCAGATAGTGACCCAGTTCCACAAGCAGCTGTGTGAGCGCGTTGGGCCCGCGCCAGCCCGGGGTCGGGGAGGGCTTCTTTTGGAGTTGTGACATTTAACCTCAGATCTGAAGGACCGTAGCACTGCGAACTCTGCCAAGTACTCAGCCTCCCTGGGCCTCCCTTTTGCCAAAAGGAGATAACAGTAGCGGCCTCACAGGAGTGTTGTGAAGATAGGCAAGCCAATCCACTCACAAAAATGTCCAGACAGTGCCTGATACGGCCGGAATTGCCGGGTTACCATGACTATTGCCCTTCCCCGACTCTGCTCCCCATAGCCTAGCACCTTCACGGAGCGAGGCCGGCCTCTCAGTTCTGTATCCCCGCGTTGGGCACACCGGAGGCTCCCAGGGAATGTGGAAGGAGCAGGTGTCGGCCCAGGCAGGACCTGAAACTCAGGCTGGTGGGGGGGGGGTGGGAGGGGCCTGGGAATGGGGCTTCTGGAAGGAGCGCTGGGCTGGATGAGGGGACCTTTACCCCACTCCCCTCTCCCCCCCAGGAGGCCTCTCTCAGATTCACTCTGCCAGGCTCAGGCACCGAAGGGCCTGCCAAGCAGGAGAACTACATCCTAGGCAGCTGTGGGTGAGCCAGGGCTGGGCGGAAACTAGGGGGATGGGCTCCTCCGGAGGGGGGACGCCTAGGATACCCTATAGGAGAGGTGGCACCTCCAGAGGGTGTGCAGTGGGACAAGTGGTGGGACAGGCTGGACCATCCTGTGACAGCCAGGGGCAGCCTGCTGGGAGAGCCAGGTGATGGGAGGGGGCAGCTGGAGGCACCGCTCTGACCCCCTCGTGTTGTAGCACAGACCAGGTGAAGGGCGTGCTGACTCTGCAAGGGGACGCGCTGAGCCAGGCGGTGAGTCCCCCAGCCCCTCTCCCCTTCCCGTGTGCTGCCGGAGGAGCCAGTGGGGAAGGGCGTGGAGGCCTGCCTATTCCAGCTCTGCCACCGGCTACCTGTGTGACCCGCCGCAGGGTCCTTGATCTCTCTGGGCTTCGGTTTCCTCGTTTGTAAAATGACAACAACCCCCCTAACCTCCTCATGGGATTGGCATGTGGATTCAGTGAGAGGTGCCGGAAGGGGGATGCTTTGCACATGGCCCGGCCGGAGTCTGGGCCCAGTGAAGCGTGGGCATTGGCAGGATTAGGCTGGCCCCAGATCAAAGTGGAATCAGCCAACATCTGAGCTCCTTCTGCACCCGACCCTGTGCCAGGCGCCAAGGCATGGGGGAGGTCCCTCTCGTCCACGGATGGGTGTCCCATCTGTTGGCCTGTACAAACATTCCCGCTTTGCCCACAGTCACATGCCTCTTCCCAGCCCAGGCCACCTTCCCCTTTCTGGCTTCTTTCGCTTTCATTTCTTTGTGGTTCCTCTTGGGCCTGCCTTGCTGTTTCCTGACCTCCCTGTTCCTCCCCCAAATGGCCAAGGTGTTGAGAGACCCTCTGCCCTATGGAGTGGCTGGGGCCTGAGCCACCACACACCCCTGGTGTCTGCCCCCGGCTCCAGGGCTCAGCGTGGCCAAAAGCAGGAGGGCGTCCCTCTGCCCGTCTTATCCCACTCTTGCCCATCAGGACGTGAACCTGAAGATGCCCCGGAACAACCAGCTGCTGCACTTCGCCTTCCGGGAGGACAAGCAGTGGAAGCTGCAGCAGGTAACTGGGCCCTTCCCCTGCGGGCCTCAGGCCACAGGGCAGGCAGGGGCAGGCCCTCGCGGCGCTGAGGCCTCCCGGGGCTGGCGGCCCTGGGCCCTGGGGATTCGCAGCAAGCCTGGGAGGGAGTTTCCTAGCAGCTAAGCTGGGGCGGGCAGTGCCTGGGGCTCCAGAGCCCAGCCCTGTGAGAGGTGGGGAACTTGTCCTGTCTGTAGGCCCCCAGGCCGCAGTGGGAACCACAGGGGTCCCCCTGAACAAGGCATTCCCCTGCCCAGAGCCTCCAAGGGCTTCCCATGGTTCTTAGGACGAAGTCCATGCTCCCTACCAGCTTCTGTGTGATTGGGCCCCGTCCTCTGCCCCATCCCCTCCCTTCTCACTGGCCACCAGCTGTGTCCACCTCAGGGCCTTTGCTCGTCCCTCTGCCTGGAGTCCTCTCCCCTGGCTCTTCTTATCACATGGGCGATGCTCAAGAGTTGCCTCCCTGGGGCTCCCCCCACCCCCTCCTGTGGGACCCTGTGTGCTTCCTTGGGCAAGTCTAGCAGTCAGTGGTCACCTTGTGCCTTTACCCCATTACCATCTGTCTCTCCTTTAGAAGGTGAGCTGCATGAGGCAGGGACCAAGCCTGTCCTTGGAGGGCAGCACCCAGCCAGGGCCTGGCCCTTGGAGGGGAGGGGTTGGGTGACTCGGGTCAGGCAGGCAGCACCCAGCCCTCCCCTCTGAGGACGACGGCCCCTCGGGGTGGGGGCATGTGAGCTGGGGGCCCGGCGGCTGTGGCTGCTCTGAAGCTGATGCCTCTCCCTGCCGAGGCCCGGCCCCCTGAGCACTCGGTGGGCGCTGTTTCCAGATCCAGGATGCCAGGAACCACGTGAGCCAGGCCCTTTACCTCCTCACCAACCGAGATGAGAGTTACCAGTTCAGGACGGGCGCAGAGGTTCTCAAGGTGAGCTGCCCACAGGGCGGGGCAGCCAGGTCCCTGTCCCTGGCCCTGACCCCTGACCTGGCCCCTGTCGATGTACACATGTCCGTCCAGCCACAGGCAAATGGCTCACAGCCCAGGCTCCAGTATCAGACCTGGGGTCTGATCCCAGGGCCTCCACTGTAAGCTGTGCAACCTCGAGTCACTTGCTTAGCCACTCTGTGCCTCAGTTTTCCTACCTGGAAAAGGGGGACAAGCTGTAGTGACTACTAACTGTGATAATCTAGATAAAGTGGCTCTTAGTAAGTGCTCAGTAAATAGTAGCTGCTAGTGGTAGTCCGAGCAATGGCACAAACCTTTGTAATAACAAAGTGAATTCACACAGCCTCGTGGGAAGAGCTGAGCCTGGATGCCCCAGACTCATGCTTTAGCTCTGCCCCTGACTTGTTGTGTGTCCTCAGGTGGTTCACTTACCCTCTCTGGAACTCTGGTTCCTCATATGAAAACTTGGAACTAAATGGACTAAGGTCCCTCCCGGCCATGTGATTGCCCTGGGAGTAGGAGGTGCAGCCCCATCCCTCCATCCAACAGTCCTGCCTTTCCTGGGAGCCAGGTCATCCCGGTGCCCATGGCAACAGCTGGAAGCATTGGGAGCTGGGGCTCTGAGAGGTCCAAGCCAGGGCTTTGCTATGTGGCAAAGTGAAGGGATGAGTTCCAGATGGTTCCGCTATTCAGTGGCTATGTGACCTTACCCCTTCTGAGCCTCAGTTTCCTCACCTGTGAAAATGGGGCCGGTGCCCACCTTAAAGCCTCAACTCAGCAGTCCCATCACCTCCTCCAGGAAGCCCTCCCTGGCCCCTTGGACCCAAGCCAGATTAGGGCCCCTTCTAAGCTCCTTTATTGCCTGCGCCCCATCCACAAAGCCCTCGTGCCCCTGGGACTAACTCCCTAGATCTGTCCTCCACTGGACCAGCACCCAGGGTCCCGTGCAATAGAGCGTCCTGGATGGGTGGTCTACAGTGCAGATGTCCTGCTCCCCTCCCCCAGCTGGAGCCCAATCACCTGCATCTTTATCAAGCCCCCCCTGCTTTGGGGCTCAGGCCCTGAGACCCCGACCACCCAGGGCAGGAGCTGGGAGCTACTGGAACCTTGTTGCTCCCTGATGCTGCGGGGCGGGGGTTGGGTGTGGGACTGGGCCCCGCCCTGCTGCCCTCGAAGCAGCGGTGACGAGCCCCTCCCCGCAGCTGATGGACGCCGTGATGCTGCAGCTGACCAGAGCGCGCAACCGGCTCACCACCCCGGCCACGCTGACTCTGCCTGAGATCGCCGCCAGCGGCCTCACAGTCAGTGCCTCGGGCCAGCCCCTGCTCCAAGAGGGGCCCCACGGCGGGGCCCAGCTTGCCCTGGGAGGGACACGGGGGTCCCAAGGGATCCCGGAAGCCCCACATCGTCATCCATCCGAGTGCTCTGTTGAAGCAGTTTTCTGGGATGGGGTCCTTGGCTTCCATCCTGTGTCCCCCAAATATGTCATCACCCCGGTCTGGGTCAGTGGTTCCCAAGCCCGGCGGTACCTGGGAAGAGTCTGGAAGCCCCAGTCCATGGGATGGGGACGGGGATCCCCCCAGGTGTCTCCGGGGTCTGTGCCTACCCGGTTCTCATCCCACCTGCCTGCCCGGCCCCCGCCCCCAGAGGATGTTCGCCCCCGCCCTGCCCTCTGACCTGCTGGTCAACGTCTACATCAACCTCAACAAGCTCTGCCTCACGGTCTACCAGCTGCACGCCCTTCAGCCCAACTCCACCAAGGTGAGCGCCCCCGTGCGGCCTCCACCCGCCTGCGCGCACCCTGCAGCCCCGCGCCCTGACGGGGCCGGTGCTCTTCTGCCTAGAACTTCCGCCCCACTGGAGGTGCCGTGCTCCACAGCCCCGGGGCCATGTTGTAAGTATGCCGGCCCCTCCCCACCCGGATCCTCGGCGCCTCCGGGCTGGGGGCCAGGCTGGCGGCAGCCCTCAGGGAGCCACCCTCTCCCGCCAGCGAGTGGGGCGCACAGCGTCTGGAGGTGAGCCACGTGCACAAGGTGGAATGTGTGATCCCCTGGCTCAACGATGCCCTGGTTTTCTTCACCGTCTCCCTGCAGCTCTGCCAGCAGCTCAAGGATAAGGTGGGGCCCTAGGGGCTGCGGGTCTGGGCCGGGGACCCCCTCCCAGACAGACTGGGCCAGCCAGGCAGCAGGCTGCTAAGCCCCTTCATTCTCGGGGGGATTCCAAGGGCTCCTGTCACGACTCCAAAACACCCCTAAATCTTCAGGCCCCTCCCCGCCGCACACACCAGGCAGACGCACCACGGCGTTGCTGGGCAGCAATATCCTCTCCCTGGCACACTGCCCTTGGATGACCTTGAATCTCCCCTGGGTCATGGAGGGTGCAGCAGGGGCCGGGCCCCCAGCCCCACACTCACCATGTCCCCCACCTCCCGCCCTCCCCAGATCTCCGTGTTCTCCAGCTACTGGAGCTACAGGCCTTTCTGAGCAGAGCACCCCAGGACCCTGTCCCCCGGGGAAATGGCCCCTGCCCAGGGGCTCCTGTCCCCCCACACACACCCCTCAGAGTGCCGGCCAGAGCCGGGCCCTGCGGGCTATTTATTTCCCTCTTCGCCCGTCCCGCCTGTCACATGTGCACAGATGGTAATGACCAGGGGGACTGCTGGGAGGGAGGATGCTGGCTTGCTTTCTGTTTGGGATGGGAGGGTCAGGAAGGCGGCCAGAGGTGGAACATGAGGTGGCCCACATTCCGAGCCCTACAGCAGGAACCTTTAGACTCAGGGTGGGGCCAGGCCCAGGGTTCTCCTTCCTCCCCATGGAGCTGCCCGTGATGGTGAGGGGCAGGGGTGGTGAGGGGCGGGGGTGGCCCTAAGCTGCGAGTTGGGAAGGAGAGAGGAGGAAACGGGTTGGCTCAGCCACCCCGACAGGGCCTCTCAGAAATAAAGAGTATCCAACTTTGCCTGTCTGTCTGTCTGTCTGAGTGGGGACCAGCCTGGGGGTCCCTGATGGTCGGAGCCCTGCAGAATACCAGTATCTGAGCGCCTGGGCTCCCTACGCCACCTATGAGAGGGTCCTCTCAGCTGCTGAGGGCCCAGGGATGGTCACAAGGGCTGGGTCTGAGGTTCAGGCCCCGAGTTTGAGCCCAGCTTCTCCTCCCTTGGGCAGTTGCTGGGTGGTCTCCAGCACGTGACTTGAGGTCTCCTGGTGACAGTCATGCCAGCTGAGGCTGTGAGGGCCCCGGTGGGCACCTAGATAAAGCGGTGCCGCGCTCTGCCCCCCCCCCCCACCCCCACAGGAAGCTCAGAACATACTGCAGACTCAGGCTCTGGGCAGACAGGCCGTTGTTACTGTCGCCCCGCAGGACACATGGGCAGAGGGGCTGGGGGACTCGCCACATTAAGGTTCCAGGGCCAAGTTGTCCACTCCCCTGGGGCTTTGCTGCAAGAGAGGCACAGGGGGGGCCCAGTGGCTTCACAACTCAGTTCCCTGCCTGCCCCTCTCCACAGCAGGCCCAGCACCCCCCCCTGCTGCCCCCTCCTCTGCACCTGTGGGTACGGCTACCCAGTGCCTGCCCAGCCCAGGAGGCCCGCAGGGCTTACCTTTTTGGGGCTCACCTTCTGGGATCTGGGGGGGCGGCGGCTACAGCAGGTGCAGCAACAGCAGTGGATGCCAGCAAGCAGCAGCAGGAGGAACACGGCGCCTGGGGGCGGGACAGGTGTCCAGATAAGACCCTGGGCCTGGGCTGGGAGGCTGGTGGGGGGCCAGAGGCAAAGGCCACACTCACTGACGAAGACGAGGAAGATGATGAAGGCAGCGGTGTCCCACTTGGACTGGAACGGCTGGCGGCTGTTCAGTTTCCCCAGCACATCTCGTGCTGTAGTCTCTAGGTCCTTCACCGACAAATCCATCTCAGCTGGAGGGTCCTGGGTGCTACCTGCCCCAGCCCCCCAGAAAGCCGCCTCAGAACCCTGGGCTCCTCTGGGGCCGGGCTACATCCAGGCCTTCCGCAGCCCAGCCCTAGCCCTGCCCCTGCCCCCTCCCACAGCACCCCTCTAGGCCCCAGCCCCTACCCCAGCCCCTCTTCTGCTCCTCTCCTTGCCCAGCCCTTCTCCTGGTCCTGACCGTGACCCTGGCCTGGGCAGCACCTTCCCCTCCCTCTCCCCCGACAACCCCACTCCTAGACCTCCAGCTGCCTCAAGCTCCCCAGTCAGGCAGGTCCTGGGTCCTGGGAGCACAGACTACTTCCTGCTTCCGCATCCACACCACCTGAGGCCTTGGCAACCAGCTCCAGCCCTCCCCAGGGCGAGCCCGGGCTGCCAGAGCTCAGGGGAGGCGGGGCCTGCCTCCCAACAGCAGCAGGTGCTGCGGGACCCGGGGAGGGGGCCCCGGCCGTCAGCCTCTTATTCCAGAGGTTTTTCACTTTTTCTCAGTAGAGCAGACAAGCAGCCTGGAACGCAGTGGGCACTCAGCCACTGTCGACTTCATGAATGAAGGAGAGACAAAGAAAAGAGAGAACGGAGGGAGGGAAGAAGGGAGAGGATGAGGGAGGAAGGTAAAAACGGAGAAAGGAGGGGGAGCCGGGGAGGAGGGAGTTGTTCCTGTCTTCGGGCGGCTAGGAGGTGCTGGCGTCATGGTAGCCGTCTTTGGGGTCCGTATTCTCTCTATTCTCATCCTCACAGTAACCCTTACGAGACAATGGTTGTCGTCTCTCAAATGAGCTATTCCCCCAGAACTTGGGGCCTGGGGCCCCTGACCCCGCCCAGCGAGGCCGCTCTCCCTCCTCCCTTCTTTCAGAGCGCAGACGTGTCAGGGGCCAGAGACTGTGCTCAGCGCTTGAGGTTGGCTGCAAACCAGGTGCACACAGTTTCTTGTTCTTATGGTCCAGCAGGGAAGAACATGTTGGCTCAGGTTAGACTCTGCACCTAACACTATCCGTCCATTACCTAGTTTATTCCTCCTGGCCATCCTAAAGTGGGTATTATTGCTATTCCCATTTTACTGATATGAAAACTGAGGCCTTGAGAAGTTCGGCAACTAGCTCAAGTCATACATCCAATGTATTCATTTCCCGTCGTCGCTGTAACGTACTACGACAAACAGTGGCTTAAAACAACACAGATTTATTGTCTTACAGTTCTGGAGGTCAGAGTCTAAAATGCGTCAGCAGAGTTGTGTTCCTTCTGAAGGCTCTAGAGGAGAAGGCGTTCCTTCCTTTTCCAGCTTCTAGAGGCCACTCACGTTCCTTGGTTCATGCCCCACCCCCATCACTTCAATTTTTGCTTCCATGCTCACGTCTCTCTGATTCTGAGCCTCCTGCCACCCACTTATAAGGAGCCCTGTGATTACACTGGCTCACAGGATAATCTCCCCATCAAAATCCTTCATCACGTCTGCAGTCTCTTTTGCCCTGTAAGGTAACATATTCACAGGTCCCAGGGATTAAGATCAAAACATCTTTGGGGGTCATGATTCTGCCAACCACAGCCAGTGAGCAGAGAAGCCAGAATCGGGACCCAGGCATTCAGATTCCAGATCCCTTGACCAGCATGTTATAGGGTCACCTGTGCTGGCATCCCCATCTCATACCCCACATCTCCTCTGTCCCATTCTGAGATCTCAGATTCCCATTGCACAGGGAGGGTAGTTTTGAAATGACTGGAGTGTTCTATTGCAAAAAGGGGGGGACGGGGGTGCAGCCACTGTGGAAAACAGTCTGGCAGTTCCTCTGCAAGTTACACAGAGAGTTGTCATACGACCTAGCAATTTCACTCCCAGGTACGTACCCAAGAGAACTGAAAACAGGGACTCAAAGTCTTGGACTCATGTTCAATAGCAGCACTATTCCCAGTCCCCAAAAGGTGGAAACAACCCAAGTGTCCATCAACTGAAGATGGATAAACACACTGTGGTCCATCCAGACAATGGAATATTATTCAGCCATAAAAAGCAACGAAGCACTGACACGTGCTTCAAAGGGTATGAACCTCGAAAACATGATGCTCAGTGAAAGAGGCCAAAGGCCACACAGTGCGTGATTCCATTTAGATGAAATGTCCAGAACAGGCAGATCCATAGAGACACACAGTACTTAGTGGTTGCCAGGGGCTGGGGGATGGGGGGATAGGGCAAGTGCTTAGCGGTTGTGGGGTTCCCTTTTGGGGTGATGAACATGTCTTGGAAAGAGAGAGAGGTGGTGGTGTTTCAACATCGTGAATATACTAAATGCACTGATCTGTTCACTTTAACATGGCTAATGGTTAGTTTTGTTATGTGAATTTTACCTCAGTTGAAAAACACAAGCCAGAGGGAAGTCAACAACTGTGGCCCCTGCCCCACAACTTGCCTGGCTGCGTGGACAGGAGGCCCACGTTCCCCTCCTCTCCCTGCCGACCCTCAGCCTTCCTGTCCAGACTCCCGGGTGCCTTGTTTCTTGTTTGTCGTTCCCATCGTGAAAGTAAGACCTCCTCATTAAAGAAAATCTGGGAAACCCCGACTTGTTAAAAGGCAAAACCCCCGTGGAACCCCCAGACCCAAGCAGAGCAGCGATGGGGAAGAGGCAGTGGCAGGACGAGTTTCAGGCGGGTCAGGCCCTTGGACTCGGACCCTGGTCCCAGCCCTTAACACCCACCAGTGTGTGACCTGGGGCATGGTCCCGGACCCCTCTCTGCCTCAGTTTCCTCATCCGTAAAATGGGTGTGTGAACAGTATCCACCTCCTCGGGGTGTTGTGAGGATTGAGTGCAATAATCCACGTAAACGCTTCCTTAGCAACGATGAAACGCACTAGAAAATGTGCACTAAATAGTGTGTATTACTCTCGCCCAACTTGTGGGCAAGTCCCTCCGGTCTTTTCTTTTTGTGTGTGTCCGCCTTGCCTGCCATCCTCACTCGGCTCGGATCCCTTTACCCTCGGCTTTTCCCGATCAACACGGCCAAGAGCACCTTGCCAGTGCTGCTTTCAGCGGACCTGATCTTCGGTTCGCAGTGTAGGCGCCCGCTGAGGCTTTCTTCCTTCCCCCCCAGTTTTTCAGAATCCCACAGCACTCACATGGGGTGGTTTTCCTGGAGGAAGCGTCTTCTCTGCAGAGAGCCTTGTTTCCGTAGGGGACATTCCCAGAGGCGAGGGTCTGCTCCTGTTCAAGGTCACGCACAGTCACTGGCACTGCTCAGTCGTCGGCACACCACGTTCTCATTTGCTTTGGTGAGGAGGCCGGTCTCGCCAAGGCCCTCAGGAGCCGCGCGGTTGTAGCTTAGGAGATCTCTCTGTTGGGAATGGCACCGTGTTCCATGGTGGGCTCTGCCCCTGTCTTCCCACCCCGGGCCCTGCCCAGCCCCACTCCCGGCCTCCGAGCCTTGAAAGTGACGTTTCAGCCTCTGTGGTCGGCTGTGCAGAAGGTGGGGGACTAGAGGCACACAGGTAGAGAGGGACAGAGGCTGGCTGAAGCTCAGACGGTTGAGGCGAGTGGATTGGGGCAGAGTTGGTAAGTCCCCGTGGGCAGAGCAGGGTTGGCAAACCACCGCCTGCTTTTGTAGATAGTTTTCCTGGCACTCAGCCACCCCCGTCCCTTTACTTGTCCGTGGCTGCTTTCACACTGCAATGGCGGAGCTGAAGAATCGTTGCAACAGAGGTCTTATGATCTGCAAAGCTTAAGATCTATATGATCTGGCCTTTTATAAAAACCATTTGCCGACATCAGAGACAGGATTGCTTAGGGCTTGCAAACTCAGGTGCCAGGAAACAGATGAGAAAGAAATAACTGAGTGAGATGGACTTGGTATAAGAAACATCTTATCATTAGGGAGACATTAGGGAGGGGTGAGGACTGTGGCAAACTGGAACGCACATGGCCCATCTAAAGAGGGCAGCTCAAGTCAGCTGTGGGCTGCCCCTAGAGTTGCCAGGGCCTCCAGTCTCTAAGATCCATTGGAAATCTAGATGTTTGTGTGAACAAGAAAAGAGGTGGTCGGGGGCCAGGCTGGTGGCACAGTTGTTAATTTCGTGCACTTCACTGTGGCAGCTCAGGGTTCACAGTTTCAGATCCCAGGCACGGACCTACACACCACTCATCAAACCATACTGTGGCGGCATCCCGCATACAAACTAGAGGAAGATTGGCACAGATGTTAGCTCAGCAACAATCTTCCTCACCAGAAAAAAAAAAAAGGAAAGAGGCGGCAGGCGGCAGAGGATGTGGCCTCAGTTTCCAGACCCGCCATTTCCTCACTATGTGACCTTGAACGACTTGCTTGCCTCTCTCTTATCTGTAGACTGGGGGTAGTGACAGCACTGACTTCATAGGGCTGTGATGATTATTGCACAAGTTAACACCCTAGGGCTCCTAGAACAATACCACGCACAGACTAAGTACAGAGTAAATATTTGCTAAATCGATGTCTTAATTTTTCAGTGCTGGCAATTTAAATGACTATGGTGCCCGCAGTGGACGGGTCAGAATAAATGCACGGATGTTCTGCTTTCCGGCCGTGGCTCACGGGTCTGCTTCCCCTGGCAGAGTGGTTCCGGGCCTTAACTTGGAAGTCGGAGGGACTAGCTGAAGCGCAGCCTCGGGCAGGGCAGCCGCCCTGGGGCCCTGGGCTCCTGTCTATAGTACCAGGCCAGGGCCATTGTGAGGGTCACAGAGTAGTGTCCCTAAAGGGCCTGGAGGAGCAGCTTACCTGTCCCTGCCCTCAGCTCCGTGCTACAGAGGACCCCCCCGGTGGGGTGACCGGAAGGGGGTGCAGCTCAGATTCTTCAGTTAACTGTCGCCCTCTCCCCTCCCCCTCAGCACATACACCGGGGTCCGCCAGGACAGGGCAGCTCCCCGAGGCTCCCACAGGGACCCAGGGCCCCCAGGTGCCACCGAGGCTGCTTCTCTGTCTCTCTGTCTCCCACAGGTCCGGCCCCTGGGCTCTGCCAGGCCAGCACGCTCTGCAGAGGGGGCGTCTGAGCAGAGAGCCTGCCTGGGCCGTGGGTGGGGGCAGGACAGAACCCTGGGCTGGCGCATCTCAGGGTGGGGGTTCAGTCTCCCCAGGGGGCACCTCTCACGAAACCCCGTGGACCATGGGGACCTGAGGGATAGACAGACCAGGGGGTGCACCGTGGGAGTCCCTGGAAGCAGAACTCAGGAGTCAGGGCTCAGAAATGAGAACTCAGGTGGTCCCCTCTGCAGCCCCAGTGACAGCCTCTCCCCACCCCACCCGCATGACAGGCATCGTGGTGCCCTTGGCCCCATGGACCCTCTGAGGCAGTCCCCCTCCCCCTGCTCGTCGCGGCCCTCCAGCCCCAGGACCCCACCCTGTGAGACGCTTGGTGACGTCGGCATCGAGGCTGTACTGGACCAGCTGAAGATCAAGGCCATGAAGATGGGGTTCGAGTTCAACATCATGGTGGTGGGTGAGTGAGAGGCAGGGTGCTTGCAGGAGGACAGACCAATGGGCATGACCCTGTGGGCCTAGGCGTGTCGCCTCACTTCTCGGGGCCTCAGTCTCCCCGAGACTGAGGACTCCCCACTGTGAAGTGGGGTTGATGGGAGCACCTCATAGGGGTGTTATAGTGGGAAAGCTGGGAAACACTGAGTCGTTAAAAGACAGAAATCACCCGTGAAGCCCAACCAAACCCAAACAGAGTGATAGAAGGGGAGGCCGTGGCAGGAAGTGGTGAGCACCTGGATTCAGATCCTGGGCCCAACCCTAAACCCACCAGTGTGTGACCTTGGCCCCGGTCACACACTGACCCCACTCTGCCCAGTTTCCTCATCGGGCTTAGCACGGTGCCTGGTGTTCAGGGGGTCCTCCATGGGTCAGTGTATCTGGAATTGCATTTTTATACATACAAAATTAATTTTGTAGGTCCAAACTACACTTTTAACAAAATAAACTAGATACAGCAGAACATAAAATGTCAGCGTGTAGCACAGATTAAGGGTATTATCCTACAGCAGCACTGTGCTTAGAGATATAACATGAGCCACATACGTAATTTTTAAATTTCCCAGTAGCCACCTTTACAAAAGTAAAACGAAACAGGTGGAATTACTTTTTTTTTTAAAGTTTTATGTATTTATTTTTTCCCCCAAAGCCCCAGTAGATAGTTGTACATTATAGTTGCACATCCTTCTAGTTGCTGTATGTGGGACGCGGCCTCAGCATGGCCGGAGAAGCGGTGCGTCGGTGAGAGCCCGGGATCCCAACCCGGGCTGCCGGTAGCAGAGGGCGCGCACTTAACCGCTAAGCCACGGGGCCGGCCCACGGTGGAATTAATTTTAATCATCTATTTTTTTAACACAAAATTTTCCAAAATACTATAATCTCAACATGTAATCCATGTAAAAATTTATCCGTGAGATCTCTTACGTTCTTTTTGTTGCACCAAGTCTGCAAAATCTTGCTTGTACTTGCCACTGACGGCGTATCTCAATTCAGATCCGCCGTATTGCAGGTGCCGATAGCCAGCTGGGGCAGCACAGCCCTAAGGACTGCTGCAGTTACGTACACAAGGGTGTGTCCTGCGTTGTGATGTAGATGTTTCCTACTGTGGCGTGATCCACAGAGTGTGAGAAGCCCCCACAGCAGGGAGAATGGACCATCTACAACCACAGGCAGCATGGGTGAATCTCACCAAGTGTGGAGCGAAAGAAGCCAGACATAAAAGAGCACATGCTGTGTGATTCCCTAAGCTAAGGGCGGGCAGAACTGCTCCCTGCTGATAGAAGTTAGGAGAGTGGCTGTCACAGGAGGCAGGGTTAATATTGCGGAGATGGGGCATGAGTGGGCTTGGGGGGAGGTGTGCGTTCTGTCTCTTGATCCGGTGCTGCGTACACGGGTTGTTTAATTTGTAAAAATGCGTTGAACTGCCCATCAATGGATGAATGAATGAACACAATGTGGTCTATCCACCAATGGAATATTATTCAGCCAAGAAAAAGAATGAACTACTGATAGATGCTACAATGTGGATGAACCTTAAAAACATTATGCTGAGTGAAAGAAGCCAGACTGCCTGAGTCTATTTACATGAAATGTCCAGAATAGGTAAATCCATAGAGACAGACAGTAGACGAGTGGTTGCCAGGGGCTAAGAGGTAGGGAGCATGGGGAGTGACTGCTAACGGGTATGGGGTCTCTTTTTGGGGTGATGAAAATGTTTTGGAGCTAGATAGCATTGGTGGTCGCACAACACTGTGAATATAATAAATGCCACTGAATTGTTCATTTTACATGGCCAGTGGTTAATTTTTTATTACATGAATTTTGCCTCAATAACAAAGAGGGGTAAACACTGAGGTGGACACAGAAGACAGGCTGCACTTTTCTGTATGTAGGTTATACTTAGAAAATGGTTAACTCTCTAAAACAATTTATTAAGAGTGTGAGAAACACGGCCTGAACTGTCCGCCATCATTGCTGTGGTCTGCTTGCCACAGGGCAGAGCGGGCTGGGCAAGTCCACGATGGTGAACACGCTGTTCAAGTCCAAGATGTGGAAGTCCACCCTGCCGGGCCTGGGAGTGCCCACGCCCCAGACCCTGCAGCTGCAGTCAGTGACCCACGGTGAGCGACCCCTCGTCCCCCCGCCCCGCCCCTCCCCGCCCGGGTCCAATCTCTCCCCGCTCCCCCTCCCTCCACAGTCATCGAGGAGAAGGGCGTGAAGCTCAAGCTAACTGTGACCGACACGCCCGGCTTCGGGGACCAGATCAACAACGACAAGTGGTGAGTCTTGGGAGTGGGGGCCGAGCCCAAGCTTCCCCTGCCCCTGCCCCTCCGGCCTCTGGGAAACAGCCTGGTCCTGGAGCCACCGGGCTGCGGCATCTCTGAGCCTCAGTTTATTCGTCTGTATAATGGGCATACCCAACTCTTCCTCCAAGATGGGAGGGAATCAAGTATGTAAAGATGTTAACTTGCTGCCTGGCACACAATAACCTTGCAACAAAGGTTATGGGGACAGCGGGGGTTAGAAGCCCACCCTCCAGAGTCAGGACCCCTGGGTTAGACCACTTTCTAGCTGCGTAACCTGGGACTGGTCACAGAAGCCTCTGAGCTTTTGTTTCTTTCTTCGTAACTTGGAGTTACAAGTTGGGGTGACGACTCCCGCCTTGCAGAGTTGTTCTAGGCTCTCAAGGAGGGCCGAGGCCACACACACACGCGCGCACACACACAATCAGGCATGGCTGCATAATTTGTGGGCCCCAGTGCGATGACATGTGGGGCCCCTTGTTCAAAGTTTATTAAGAACTGTAAGACCGTGACCACAGAGCGTTCAGCCATGCATGGACCCTTCAAAGCACGGAGCCCTGTGTGACTGCTCTGCGCGCACTCCGTGAGGCCAACCCCACACACAGCACTCCCCTGAGCACTTACTTTGTGCAAGCTCTGTTCTGGACCCAGGAATACAGCAATGAACAAAAGCGATGAACATCCTCGTCTACATGGAGTTTACACTGTCACAGGGGTGAGGGACAGACAATGAACAAAACAAATCAGTTATATGGAGGGTGGGCCTGAACTCTATCATCCAAACAGGCCATTTCAGAGAGTGACAGGGTACAGACCTGTAGGGGGGTGCGATTTTAAGCAGAGTGATCAAGAAAGACCTCCCGGAGAAGGTGACATTTGGGCACAGACTTCTAGGAGCTGAGAAAATGAGCTGTGTGGACATGCGCAGGACAAGTGTTCAAGGCAGAGGGCAGCATGTGCAAAGGCTCTGAGGTGGGATGGGTTGGTGTGTTCGAGGAAGGCTGGTGCGGCTGGAGAGGCGTGAGCGATAGGGAGGGGAGAGGAGAGGGCCGGCAGGAAGCAGCAGGGAGATGGTGCAGGGCCTTGTGGGGCAATGGAAGACTACTAGAGGCCGAGCAGAGAAGGGACGTGATCTGACCCCTGCTCTTACAAGGATCTTCTCCGCTGCTGTGTTGACAACAGGCTGGCAGGGAAGGGATCCAGAGAGAGGAGTCAGGAGACCCTCGCTAGGGTCCTTGGTGGTTTGAACCAGGTGACGGCAGTTTCTCTCCTTTAATGTCGGCCCCTCCCCTAGGAAGTAGGTGTTCTATTGTCCCCATTTTACAGACGAGGAAACTGAGGCCTCAGCTCAAGAATGGCTCCCCCACTGTCTCTCTGATGATGCAGGGGAGTGGGGGGAGGGTACTTAGGTGACCAAGGGCCTCAGGTTGTGTGAGACTGAAAGTGCCACATCCAGAGAACCCAGGCAATTGGTCATCCTAAGGGGAGGCGGGGTGGGGCTCCTGGGCGTGGTTCTGAGGTCGGGTTGCATCCTGCCCCAGCTGGGACCCGATCCTGGGCTACATCAATGAGCAGTATGAGCGGTACCTGCAGGAGGAGATCCTCATCACCCGCCAGCGCCACATCCCCGACACCCGCGTGCACTGCTGCGTGTACTTTGTGCCGCCCACTGGGCACTGGTGAGGTGGCTGGGCGGCCGAGGGAGGGCCACCTGCAAGGGGCAGAGGGGAGGAGGAGGGATCCTCGGAGCGGGCTGTGGGCTAGCACTCCCTCACTCACGTACCTGCTGCTGCCGCTGCCACCACCATCGCTGCCCCGCCCAAGCAGCCTGCGGCCCCTGGACATTGAGTTCCTGCAGCGGCTGTGCCGGGTGGTGAACGTGGTGCCAGTGATCGCCCGGGCAGACAGCCTGACCCTTGAGGAGCGAGAGACCTTCAGGAGCAGGGTGATCTGGGCAGCTGGGCAAGGCTGGGGTTGGTGGGGGTGGGGAGGGAGCAGAGTGCAAAGGGTGGGCTGAGGTCACCTGTGTGCGGTCCCCAGATCCAGCACAACCTGAGGACTCACTGCATTGACGTGTACCCACAGAAGTGCTTCGACGAGGACATCAATGACAGGATCCTCAACAGCAAGATCAGGGTAGGAGGCCGTGGGGGGCCAGGAGGCTAGCAGGACCAAGGCCAGGTGATTTCCTTTCCACTCATCCTTTCCATCTGAAGATTCATCTCTCTCTACAAGTCGGGGAAAGTTCATATATTTCTAGCAGGTGTGAATCTCCATCCATCCACAAACTCAAGGTGAGCAAGAATTAGGTCACATCAACAACCCACAGAATGGGAGAAAGTGTTTGCAAATGATGTATCTGATGAGAGACTTGTGTCTTGAATATATAAAGAACTCTTACAAATCAACAATAAAAAACAAATAACCCAATTTAAAAATGGGCAAAGGATTTGAATAGACATTTCCCCAAAGAAGTTGTACAAATGGCCAATAAGCACATAAAAAGATGTTCAACATCATTAGTCATAAGGGAAATGCAAATCAAAACCATGAGCGGGGGCCGGCCCCTTGGCTGAGTGGTTCAAGTTCCCTGTGCTCCGCTTTGGCAGCCTGGGTTCCCGGGTTCAGATCCCAGGCACAGACCTACTCCACTCATCAGCCACGCTGTGGAGGCATCCCGCATACAAAATAGAGGAAGATTGGCACAGATGTTACCTCAGGGCTAATCTTCCTCAAGCAAAAAAAAAAAAAGTGAGATTGGCAATAAATGTTAGCTCAGGGCGAATCTTCCTCACCAAAACAAGACCACGAGAGGGGACTGACCCACTGGCGTGGTGGTTAAGTTCGGGCACTCTACTTTGGCGGCCCGGGGTTCACAGATTCAGATGCCGGGTGTGGACCTACACACCGCTTATCAAGCCAGGCTGTGGCGGCATCCCACATACAAAATAGAGGAAGATGGACAATGTTAGGAAAATGTTAGCCTAGGGCCAGTCTTCCTCACACACACACACACACACACACACACACACACACAAATGACCACGAGATACTACTTCCCTCTACTTCACGCTAGGATGGCTGTTATCAAAACGACAGACAATAACAACAAGCGTTAGTGAGGATGTGGAGAAGTTGGAACGTTCACGCGCTGCTGGCGGGAATGTCACATGGTACAGCTTCTTTGGAAAACAGTCTGGCAGCTCTTCACAAGGTTGAGCACTCAGTTACCATATGACCCAGCAATTCCACTCCTGGGAGCAATGAACCCTATGTCCACATAAAAACTTGTGCGCGAACATTCATAGCAGAATTATTTGTAATAGCCAAGAAGTGGAGACAATCCAAATGTCCATTCACTTCTGAATGGGTACGAATGTGGTGTATCCATAAATGAACGGTATTCAGTCATAAAAGGGTGTGAAGTACTGACATGCTACGACATGGATGAACCTGGAAAACGTGACGCTCAGTGTGAGAAGCCGGACACAAAAGGCCGTATATTACATGATTCCACCATATGAAACGTCCAGAACAGACAAATCTCTAGAGGCGGAAGGTAGATGAGGGGTTGCCGGGGGCCGGGGGTCAGGGTGAATGGGGAGTGACTGGTACAGGGTACAGGGTTTCATTTTGGAGTGATGAAAATGCTCTAGAATTAGATTGTGGCGGTGATCGTGCCACCTTGTGAATATAATACTAAAACCACTGAACTGTACTTCCAAAAGGGCGAATTTTATAGTACATGAATTATATCTCAGTAAAGCTGTTACAAGAAAGAAAGAAAGAGGGAAATAGCTCACGTCTTCATTTTCCCTGAATCAACTGAATTCCAACTCCAAGCCCCTATCGTGCTGTCCTTGTGGTGCGTTCAGTGTCACTCCGTCTGGACCCTTCGAAACACCTGGATGAGGCCTGGGACTCATCATTCGTAGACGCCAGGCCTCAACCCCCTCCCCCAGGGACCCTGGGAGCCTAACAGCGCTTTTGCTTGGATTAGAAAAAGGCAGCAGCTTCCTTCACAGATGGGGGCCTGCACATGATTTCAGCCCTACTCAGCCTCATGGCCAGGTGCCTTTGTGCAGTACACAAACCGCACATCTGTACATGGAGGCCCTGCCCACCACCTGGCACCCAATTTCTACACATTCCCTCTCCCCTTCCCCACTGGAGCAACAAACAGGATTTCCTGTGCAAGATTCAAAGAGCCTTGACCTTCACCAACTTCTGCTTTCTGTCCTGAGGTGGGCAAAGACAGCAGCCTGGCCACAGCTGGAACAGAGCTGGGAGAAATACAAGGAGAACATACTCAGATTGACATCTCAATAAATCATCCAGACGCATAACATTTATTGAGGATTTACAGCGGGCTGGCTCATAATAAGTGTGTAACAGATAGTTATTATTATTAGCATCAATTTACTCCCTGTCACAAGCTAACTCTTAGAAATAAAAACAAACCCAGATACAGCACTTCGGAGTTTAAGAGTCTGAATCTCCACTTCCGGCCACGAACAAGTAAGCAACTAGAATTTGCAACAGGGCTTAGCAAACTTTTTTGTGAAGGGCCAGATGATGGTAAATATTTCAGACTTTGTGGGCCAAGCGGTCTCCACTGGGGTAGCGTGAAAGCAACATAAACAAGAGCAGATGAGCGGGCCGGGCTGTGTGCCGAGAAACTTCACATAGGAAGACGAACGCCGTAGGTCGCCAGCCCTGGTTTACAAAGTCACCCCTTTTAACCCCCATAAAGGTTGAAGGTAATTGTCGCTCCCGTTTCACATTAAGAGATTTGACATTAGCAAGATTATATTATTAACGTGGCTACAAGTCATGACAGTTTCCAAGGGTGCTAACCCTAAATTATGCTAAGCACTTCCCAAACATTCACAAAGCCCCGTGTCAGTACTATTGTGATGCCCATTTTACAGATGAGGAAACTGAGGCACTGGTTAGACTTTGCATCTTCTGACTCGTTAGATACCTTGTGCTCCTTCTACCTCTTTCTCTCCCCACAAAGCACAGCACCCCCCTTCCTACCTCAGTGTGTTTTCTCCCCACCTCCCCAGAGGGGCCAACCCTTCCATCTCATCCCCTGCCTGCAGGACCGGATCCCCTTTGCAGTGGTCGGGGCCGACCAAGAGCACCTGGTGAATGGGAGATGTGTCCTGGGCCGGAAGACGAAGTGGGGCATCGTTGAAGGTCAGTGCAGGGACTGTGGGGAGGACATGGGTGGGAACGGGCTGAAAACCAGGGCACGCCTACTGCCTTTGGCATCCTTAGCACCCCTCACAGGGCCCACGTGGTTAAGCCCCAGAGAGGAAACAGACAGACCTGGGCTCAAGTCCCTTTGTGCAGCTGGGAGGCCTCGGGCAAGTCACCTCTCTGGGCCTCAGTTTCCTCACAGTAAAATGCACGTCACGGTAACATCAGCCTCATGGTGTGGTTGGAGGGGGCAGAGCCACTGCTTTGCACGAGGCCCGGCACCCAGGAGGTGCCCTATTTGGTCACCAGAATTTATTGTGGGCCTACTATGTGCCGGGCCTACTATGTGCAGTTCCTGAGGGGATACAGTGAAAGCAGGGCCAACAAGGTCCCTGTCCCCACAGAGCTGACGAGACGACGGGGGGAAGTAGCACAATGGAGGAAATTTGTGGGGTGGCGGGGGGCCTACCTGAGGAAGCAGAGCCAGGCCCTGGTGAGGGGGAGACTGGAGGTTGAAGGAGGAGCAGCCAGGGCCCGACTCCCCGGTTTATGAATATAGTTATTGAAAGTAGAATGTAATATATGTTATATAGGGTATAATATACAGAATATAATATAGTAATTATTAAGTGTATAATAATAAATGATCAGTGGATTCATTGATTCGGTAACTGTTTGTGGGAGCCGCCTGTACCAGGTGCTAGGGACATAGCAAGGAATGCATAAATGAATGAAGAGCAGGAGAAATGTGGGGAAAGGGCAGTGGTGGGTATCAAGTGGTGTGCAGCATACAGTGGGTGCCTACTCGGTGCTCACCGAGGCCAGGGCAGGCCCGGCAGAGCCTGCACTCAGTGTCGTGTTTTGCAGTGGAGAACATGGCGCACTGTGAGTTTCCCCTCCTGAGAGACCTGCTCATCCGGTGAGGGTGTGGGGAGCCCAGGGGGCTGCAGGGCCCCGGGGGGCACCGTGGCCAGCCCGGGCTGACCTACTGCCGTCTCCCAGCTCCCACCTCCAGGACCTGAAGGACATCACCCACAACGTCCACTACGAGAACTACCGCGTCTACAGGCTCAACGAGAGCCACGTGCTGCCCCGCGGGCCCGGCTGGGTGAACCTGGCCCCGGCCCCCACCGATCCCCCCGCCACTCCCGGGCCCTGGAAGGTCTGCCGGCGGGCCCATGACAGTTCTGACGAGGAGTGCTGAGCACCAGTGAACCCCAGGTCCCAGGGGCTCCCCGAGTCCTCGGCGGCCCCCCAGCACACACCTGTGTACCAGAGCACGTATTAAAGGTGGACACTGCTTTTTATGAAAGGCTGTGCTTTGAAAACAAAAGGCGTTTTGTAAATGACTTCTTCGAGCTATCCTCAAATGAAAGTATGGCTCTTTTTTAAGTAACAGCATGAGACCCCCCAGCCCTCGGGAGTCTTGAAGACCTGGAAGGGCGTGCCTTGGACGACCAGCCCCTTCTGCCCCAGAACGGGAGCCAAATTCCAAATCAGTCTCCACCATCTGTCTGACCCTCCCCCCTGGCACAGGGCCAGGCCCAGGGCACCATAAACACTTAAAAACTCCCCATTTCTGGCCATCTTCCCCCAACTCTGTGCCTCCCTTCTGCCGTACTCTTTGCTCTGCCCCAGCAGACCAGCACGGTGAGAAAAGAGCTCCAACTCTGGAGTCTGGCAAAGCTGATGTGAAAATCTCCGCTCTGCCACTGACGAGCAATGTGACCCTAGAAAAGTCACTTATTCTTCCTGGGCCTCAGTTCCTTCATCTGTAAAATGGGGACGATAGTATCGCCCGCATAGCGCCATTGTGCAGACAAAAGAGTAACTCATGGAATTGGAGAGAGCATGGGTCCAGGGCGGAGGCTGTGCCTGCCAAATGTGTGAGCTCTTCCCAGTGGTACTGAACCTCTTAATCCCAGGTCCGTGCCCAATGTGCAGTAAACCAATCACTGAGACATCGGTGCTTGGAGGTGGAGAAAGGTTTATTCAAATTGGCCAAAACGAGAATGTGGGAGAATAGGTTCTCTCAGATCTGCCTTATTAACAAGAGAAGAAAGCAGGGGGTCTTCATAGGTCTAAGGGGCTTGGGAGGAGGAGTTTCAGGGAAACAAAGGGAAAGTCCCTGTTTCTTTCACTTCAGATAAGACCTTGAGCAACTAGACTTCTTGGCACCAGTGGCAGCTGGGGTCAGGTCATCCAGCAGTCATAACTTCCTTAAAGGCATTCTTTTTCTTCTGAAAACAAGCTCATAAATCCTTGTGACCACTGAGTCACCCCTATGGCTAAAGAAGAAAACAGCAAATTAGCAAAGCTCTAATGATGCATGGGCTACGAAGCAAGCATTTGGGCTCAACAAATACATCTAACAGAGATTGAGGTCCTTTATCTAGGATTTATGTGGGTACTCACTTCTTTTCATCTGTGGCTGTGTCGGGAACAAGGTTGAAGGGTAACCATGTTCTTATGGAATATTTACAGTAACCTTCAGGTACCCGGCTTCGCCAGGACTCTCTGGAACCCTCAAAAATAAATGGACTTCATGGAAGCCCACACAGAGGGGGCCAAGGCTCAGTTAGTTTGGTAACAAAAGGACGGGCGACTCCTTCAATCCAGGGAGCCGGTGCATACTCAGGCTCCTGTAGGGAGAGAGCATGTAGTGAGCATTCGATAAGTGACAGTGGGGAGAAGCAGTGTTGTTCCAGCTGTATTGGGGTCCTCCAGAGTCACAGAACCAATAGGACATATATACACATGGAGATTTATTACAGGAATTGACTCACACAGTTATGGAGACGAGAAGTCCCACAATCTGCCATCTGCAAGCGGGAGACCCAGGAAAGCCAGGGGTGTAATTCATTCCAAGTCCGAAGAATTGGGGGGCTAATGGTCAAATTTCCAGCCTGAATCCGAACACCCAAGAACCAGGAGCACTGGTGTCCAAGGGCAGGAAAAGATGGATGTCTCAGCTCCAGCAGAGAGAGCAAATCCACCCTTCCTCCCCCTGTTTGTTCTATTTGAGCCCTCAGTGGACTGGATGATGCCCGCATAGGAGAGGGTGATGATTTTTACTCAGTCTACCGAAGCAAATGCTAGTCTCTTCTGGAGACACCCTCACAGACACACCCAGAAATAATATTTTACCACCTGAGCATCCCTTGGCCCAGTCAAGTTGACACATAAAATTAACCATCACACCAGCTAAAAGTTACCTCCTCTGGGAAGCCCTCCTTGATTTCCCTAGGCCAACATACTCGCTGTCCTCACTGTGTATGTATCAACTGGTTTGTTTTCTGGCGAATCTTGCCCATGAGACTGAGAGCTCTGTGAGGGCAGAGATACGTCGGCTTCCTCCTGCACGTGACAGGTGCTCAGGACTCGGCCGTTAAATGAATGAACCCTGCAACACCTGCCCCAGAGCTAATTACCCGTCAATTTCACAAACCTGCTGCCTCCAGGCTTGGGGAACTCCCAGGGCCTGTGGGGACCCACACCATCCACACCAACATCTTGGAGTTGACATGTTGCTACACAGGGGCTGAGCACATTCCCGAGGTTAAGATTAGCCCTAGGCAATATGGCAACATCTACAGCATTTCAAAAGCACACACCCTTTGGCTCAGCAGTTGCATTTCTAGGAACGGATCTCAAGGATAGACCGGGGTTTCTCAAACCTGGGCACTGTTCACACTTGGGGCTGGACCCTTCTTTGTTGCAGGGGCTGTCCTGTGCACCGTAGGATGTTTAGCAGCACCCCTGGGCCTCCACCCACTAGAGGCCAGTAGCACTGTCCCTCCAGCTGTGACAACCAAAAACGTCTCTAGACATTGCTAACTGTCCCCTGGGGGGCACAGTCTCCCCGGTTGAGAAGCACCAATAGAGGTACCCAGTGTAGTAAAGATGAGAAACAGCCTACCTGTCCACCAGCAGTGAACTGGAAAGTGAAGCACGGGACTTGCGTACTGTATGTATCAGTCTCCTGTGGCTGCTGTAACAAATTAGCACCAACTGGGAGGCTTCAACAACACACTTTTATCCTCCCACAGTTCTGGAGGTCAGAAGTCTGAAATTCGTATCACTGGGTCAAAATCGAGGTGTCAGCAGGGTTGTGCTGCCTCTGGGTGCTCTGGGGGAGGATCCACTTCCCGGCCTTGTCCAGCTTCTGGAGGCCGCCAGCATTCCTCGGCTCGTGGCCCCTTCCTCCGTCTTCTTCAGTGGTCACATTGCCTTCTGTAGTCAAATCTCCCTCTGCCTCCCTCTGATGAGGACGCTTGCGATTACATCAGGCCCACTGTGATAAGCCAGGATCATCTCCCCATCTCAAAATCCTTAATCATCCAAAATCCTTAATCTGCAAAGTTCCTTTTGTCATAGAAGGTAAGATCTTTATAGTTCTGGAGCAGGAATTGGATATCTTTGGGGGCCATTCTTCGGCCCACCACACCACGGAATATAACATGGTCCTTAAAAAGAATGTAGCAGGACATACACTATATGATCTCACTCATACGTGGAATCTTCTAAGCGTCAAACTCATAGAAATAGAGGGTAGAATGGTGGTTGCCAGGGGCTGGGGAGTGGAGGAATTGGGGAGATGTTGGTCAAAGGGTACCAACTTGCAGTTATACGATGAATCAGTTCTGGAGATCTAATATACAGCACGGTGACTATAGTTAACAATACTGTATCATATACTTGAAAGTTGCCAAGGGAGTAGATCTTAAATGTTCTCATCACACACACAAAAGGATAACTCTGTGAGGTGACAGAGGTGGTAACTAACCTTATCGTGGTAATCATTTCACAATATACACGTATATCAAATCATTACGTTGTACAGTTTAAACTTACACAATGGTACTTGTCAATTATATCTCAATAAAGCTGGAGGGAAAAAAATTGAGGCGGTTCTACAATGACCCACGTTCATTCCAGGAACAGCTCTCGAGGGCCCACTAGGAGCTGCGGCAGAGACAGTCTCAGCCGGAACAAAACCCAGTCGCTGCCCTCGGGAGCTTGCACCTGGGTGGGGCAAGATGGGGATAAACAAAGCAAGTAAAATGCCAAGCATGTTGCATTGTGATGGGTGCTCTGGCACCAAGGAAGGCATTTAAGGGGTATAGGACTGTCTAGAGTTGAGGGGGTTTGCAATTGTAAGAAGGGGGTCAGGGAGGGCCAAGCTGAGAAGGGGGCTTTGAGTAAAGATATGAAAGAGTAAAGAAATAATGGGTGGGGATATCTGGGGGCAGAACATTCCAGACAGAGAAAGGAGGGCACTGCGAGGGCAAAGGCCCTGGGGCAGGAGTGTGCTGGATGTGTTCAAGGAAGAGCAAGGAAGCCTGTGTGGCTGGAGTAGCATGAACCAGGGGAGAGAGTGGGGGGAAATGAGGACAACAAGGTGGGGAAGGGCAGGAATTTGAGTTCCCTATCATGACTCTGTTTGTACAGATTTGTACGGATGATCATCTAAGAATATTGAGAAGACAACAAGGATCAATAGAGTATATAGTGGGTGGCAGCATACGGGGCATAAATATCTCTGGAAAGATCCTGAGGACACGGGTACAAATGGTTGCTTCCAGGAAGGGCAATCAGATTGGGGGTCCAGAGTGGGAAGGACACTTACTTTTCACTCTGTCTCCTTTTGTGTCGTGTGAATGGCTTGTTAACCAGGCTCGTGTATTACCTATTCAGAAAACATTAATACATTTAAAACATTAGCCCATGGCCCTGCCCTGAACATTAGGATTTCCTCCGACCAGGGTCATCAGTGGGGACTGATGCCCTAATTTCCCCCATCCCCCTTCCTGGTCCCTGTGCTGTGGCCTTCCCCGCAGCTGACACCTCCCCAGTGTCAGCTCCAGTGACCTCTTCTCACTGCATTTCCACCACCGCCCGCTCTCTTTCACTAGGGTAGTCTTTTGGGGGGAGAGGATGGGGTATTCCAGGGAGTGTTGGTCCTGCTGTCTGCTGATGACTTTCCCTCCGGGTCTGGAAGCTCTTGTCACACCCGTGGTGACTCTGCAGCTCACGCTTGGCACAGACTCTCAGCTGTGCACCGCATAAGGGCCGGGCATAATTTCTTCTGCGTTTCCTGACCTACGACCCACGCCAGCTAGGCGAGGACGAAGGCCTCGTCTGACACATCTTGGGATTCCCCAGGCCCAGCAAGCGTGGGTTCCAAGTCCAGCTCCGCCCTTTAAACTGCAGGACCTGAGACAAGACACCGACCAGCCTGAATCCATTTCCTCCTGTGAAACGGGCTCGGCAGTGCCAGCCCCTGCCTTAGGGCTGTGTGAAGGCAAACCG